AGGGCATATTTTCTCAAGTAGTGTTAAATACTAATTAAGTATCAAGCCTCTTAAGGATAAAACCCAAATAGCAATAGTTTATTGTTAGTGGGAATTATTTTTAGATCAGATAACCTAACAGCACAGGTATTTTACCCTAGTATCTGAAGCTATGGGAAAGGAATTCCTAACAAAAAGTTGTTTTCCTATAGGTAGATATAAATAGCTGTCTGCATAGCTACAGTTTAGACTATCTTGATGTTTTCCATTCCTGCTCCTGTATCTCCTGACGGCAGTAACACAAAAATGACAAAAGCCAGCTCTTTAAAATAGCTCAGTGAATAACTGAAATACATATACACCTTAGTAGTAAACATGAAAATCCTACAGAAAACAGACCTCCAAGTATCTGAGAGCAAGTATAGCTCTACCAGAACAGGGTTACAAAAAAAGGACCAAATCCTCCTTGTGAACATTCATTATACATTTTTCTATTACTGCTTTTAACATTGCTATGCTCAGCCCTCCAGAGCCAGCCAGCAGGGTTGCACAAATGTTTTGATTGTTTTTATGGTTCATAAATCAGTCACTGACTGATTTCCAGGTGTAGTTTGTTAGAGGTAATTGCAGGAGGAACAGTGTGACTTTTAGAACCAATTAGGCAATCACAATACACAGACCCACTTCTTCCTTTATTTTTTAAGATCAATCACCCAAGAAAATTTTATAGCAAAGTGCAAACAAGCATTGGAGAGAAAGCTGATGAATACTAGGGAGGCCTCTCTTACCTAGGCAGATGATACTCATGGCAAATAACGTACAAGAACGTGCTTGCTGAGGACTAAGAGTAACTAAAAGTACTGAAGTACTTTTGAGTTTGCAATTGGAATTATTGAGGGGGAAGAAGCAGAGAATCAGAGCAACAGCAACAGAGTTATTTCACACTAGGTACTTAAAAGCTGGTATCTCCAGTGACAAAAATCTAAGAACAGAATGGAATTAAACCCATCTGTTTGCTTTCTGCCTGGAAAACTTTGATTTTGACCATATAACCTAAAAGCATGAGAAAAGCAAGTTCAGACAGCCTGAGCAGAGGCCCAAAATAATTTCAACAGTCTTTACTTTTATGAATACTGTTTTAAGCGAGGTAAGAAATATGCAATAAAATGATGCAGAACATAAGATGGAGACCGAAAGGTAAATAAGCTCCTGTTGCTAACTCATAGCTAGCTTTGAAGAAGTAAAAGATTACACAAAGTTCAGTTGGAAAGCATTGCACCAGTTTTTACACAACCTGTGGGCCAAACTGCTGCAAATTACCTAAGCATTTAGGATCCTGGAGTATTTCTATAGATAAAATGTTTACAATCACATCAATTAAAGGATTCCATATAGATTGTTTTAAAACACTAACCTACCAATGATCTGTGTCAGGATTAAAGCCCAACTTTCTTCATAACCTGATTAAGTTGTACCTAATACAGGAATTCAGAGATAGCACATTCTTAAGTGCCTTCACTAGTGCACAGGTTGCTTTTCACAATGGCCCATGGAAATGCGTTCAGTGGCAGGAAGAAGTGGAAAAAAAGATCATGTCCAACACTTAGTAACTTAAAGAGAATTCAATCATGGATGAGATGACACCAAGTCCAACAAAATGCTAGTAAGCAAAATTGCATTATCTTTATTCCCACCCCTTAAGAATTCTCCATACTGTTAAAAGAAACATTTTATAAGATAACTTTTACAGAGTATTTAGAGGATTTTCATTTTTATTTCAGAAAGTTAAATGGCATATTTAAAAGCCTCTTCAAGTTTCTACCCATTTGATAGTAAATAAAGTGGTAAAAAGGTCACAGCAGTTTATTTTTCATATCAGCTCTCTGCTGCCACCACAAGGATTCAGAAGATGAGACAATCCAGAACTTCTCAAACTACAGCTTTTTAAAAGGTGAAACACCTAGCGTGAATGCATGCAGTAGCATACACCAGAGCTGTTTCGTGCACATGGCTTTGAGCTTTTGTGTTAACTGTTTGAACGGTTTCACTTAAGTGCTCAGAACAGCTGCATTAGTAACGCCTGCCAATTTATCACAGAATACAAGGACATCCCCAATTTCAAAATAAACATTTCAGCAGTGATTTAGAGTGTTTTATCGGGCACGTTTTGGTACTATTCCTCCAGAAAACCAGGCTGCCTTCATATTATTTATGAGCTGAATATGAAATACTGATTTTCAAGTCCATCGCTGGCCAAGACTGCATACTATCCATAGTGCTACGGTGCAAATTCATATTGTATTCAACCTGTGGAGATGAGCAAGTTCTCCAAAGCATGGTGTCCAACAAATGATGGAAACAAAGGTTTCAGGAATGCTAGAGTACAGGCACGCTCCAGGAACGCTGAGTGAAGGCAGCGTGTGAAGAGGTAAAAGTAACCTGAGTCACATCTCATGGCTTTTGTTTGCCACCTACTATAGTTATTAATGCACACTGACAATTAACTTGACTGTGTGGCCATACTGTTGATAAACAAGCACAATTCCGTATTTTCCATCTCAGAAGCACATACAGCTTGGAATCTAAGCACTTGGACACTAATCAAGCTTCAAAACACACAGGAAGGCATGCACGAATCTGGCGACAACCAGCCAAAGATCTGTAACAGCACATGATGGACTGCCTGTCAGGAACCCTGGCTCTGACCAAGACTCACCTTTCCCATGTTGAAGAGTCTTTTTGAAGAGCACACTTGGAATGGATGAAGAACATCTTTAACAAAGAACAGACCACCTCACATGCTAGTTACCATCTAATTTCAATTTGTATTCTAAGCAAAAACACTATGTGGGAAATAGTGCTTGCAGCTTATCAACATCCCTAACAGCTATTTCTGCTCTTCTGGGTTTAACCTCCTTTTGCAATAAAGGCACAGTGTAACAACAGCTTTCCTGCAGAGGCACAATTTGGAAGTTAGGAGCAACATGTTGTACTTACTTTTCCTGATGACAGTTCAAGTCATATGAAGTGACAACTTGACAAGAGGGAGAACACTTACTGAAACTGTACATTTATTTAAAATGGAGACTCTCAAGACAAAAAAGAAATGAAAACTTTGCAATTTGGGGTGCTTTTTCTTAAAGCTACAAAATCTGAGCTTGCAGTTATGGTTCTTCAATGCCCATGGGTAAAGAAAAATCCAATGGGGATACTGGATTCCTTTTTTTTTTTCTCTTTATAAAGTTATTACCTCCTTTTCTTTTGTTGAATGTTTTATTTCAATACCCACAAAGTTCCTAGGTTCTTTTGCTTGGGGTTGTGGAGGTTTTCCCCTTTGATTTTTTGAAGGTAAAAGTGGTAGCTGAGATTCCAGGATGAAATTAATTGCTATGAATTGTCTATGAAATTAATCACATGTAATTAGCAAACTGATAAAAGAATAAAATGGAAACAAAGATTAATCACATCTTCCAACATCAGTGAGAACAGGAAGTTATGTACACATAACGTCAACAGTTATTCCTACCCATAGTCTTAAGATGCAGCAGTATTTTAATCTCTATCAGAAAAACAGTGAACAGAGCTAGGAAAGCAGATAAAAATGTATATTCTTGTCCAGTTGCAGTATTGGTGCACTGAATTTCTCATGCCAAAGCTTAAAACTCATCGTGCAAAAACTTTCTGTGGGAATGAAATACAGGGACAGGAACAGAACTAGTTAACTGAATTACCCAGTCAGCATCTTGATTTAACCTAATACAAAAGTAGAAACATAAGGAGCAAACCAAAATCATATTAGGTAATAAAATAAAAACAGGTTTAAGAAAACCCACAAACCAACACACACACTGAGCCCACGTCACTTTCCAGAAAGTCATATGCTCATGAAAAGGTTTTACAGATGAAGAAAGTCATAGATCTCATTCATAGTGCCAAAAATAAAATCAAGCATTAGATAAAACTCATTTTCAATTTGCCTTTTGAAAAGAAACAAACACCTGATGTGTACCCTTCAACTACCTAATGCAGCTAATGTTCTTTAAGAACTAATGCTGGCAGGCTTCCTGACAAAAGCAAAAGGGAGATTATTGCTGCTCAGTGCTCCGAGAGGCTCTTCTGGCAGGAAGGTCATGTAACAGTAAATGGACAATTGACTGCATCCTGCAGCAAGACAAGAGCAGTCACCACACTGAAGCACGTCCTTTGCGGCCATCTCCTCAAGAGTATTTTATACAAGAACCATGACTGAATTTGTTGACTGTTGGTGGGACCAACCTGTGAAGTCATCCTGCAATCACACTGGCACAACTACCAGCAGGAAAGAATTCACTTGTATTTTAGTGACTCAGGTAAAATGACATTGCAGGCAAAGTTAAAGGGAAGTTAGTTCCCTACTGGAGTGACTAAACCAGCCAAGAGTGTCCTGCTTTAAGGAATACCTAAGTGCAGATGTGCCATTCCCTGCTTTGAACACTGGGGATGAAACAGAATTCCAGACAGTGCAGTAACTACACTTTGATTCTGTTCCAAGTAGCATTTCTCCCAAATGCAACTTGCCTGTAACTTTTCCAACCCCCAGAGGAACCTAAGAGGATAGGGGAGGGGAAAGAATCATAGAACCATTTAAGTTGGAAAAGACGTATAAGAGATCTTTCAGGAATATCTATACAGTGGGAATTACAAGGCTTATGGATTACTGTTAGTCCTGCTCATGTCATGCTCTTGCATTTGTCACCTGGGTAAAAAAAAAGCAGACCATCTTACTGAGCATGGTTTCTCAGGGCCACCTGCAAACCCTATTATCAGTTGAAGTAGTATATGTGCAGCTATGCTAAAAGTAGCAAACATTTCTGTAATCAGTTAGCACTGTACTTGTTTCAGTATTGCCACCAGCACTTGTTGACAGACAGAAACCTCAGCTATTTCTAGAGCAAAGCCTGTTATCTGTCTCCTTCCAAGTCCATGAAAGTACCGTATAAGATATATCTAGTTTGATGTATACATCTAAAAGGAAAATGTACCTTTAATGTTCTAGTTGGAGCCCAGCCAGTGCCATCAATTGAATGTTCTCTCAATAAACTGGAAAAAAAAACCCAAAAACACACGTATTATACAGGGCAACTTCTAGTTAAACAACCATTGTCAGAAATCTTCTCAGAAAACATTAAGAACTCATGGAGAAGCTGCAACACAAGAATTACCTCTTGTTCTATATCCAGGTACTGGGATTTTAAAGTACAAGAACTAGTTTGTCTTCTTAGAATTACATTCCACATAGCGCCATTACAGATCTTGTATGTAGAAACTTCACTTGACCTGCACAGTATGCTACATAATTAATCCAGTGAAGCTGTTGACCTGTTTAAAAGTTGAAATAATTGAGGTGTACTTAGTTGGGTAGGCGTTACGGGACCTCTCAGGTCAAAACATCAACAGTTATGGGAAGTAAAAATACTGAAGATCAGAGCACAACTGAGAAACAAGCTGAAGTCTTGCTCACGTTCATGAAAGCAAAAGTAAACATCTGAATGAGAAAGTCAGGAAAACTCTTGGAAGC